GGATGACTGGTCCAGGGTTCCTAAGGACACAGCAGAAGGAGCAGTAGCCTAGCCCCTGCATTGTGAAGAGGGCCCAGACCCAGGGGCAGGGACCATTCCAGGATCTTGGTTTCTGCTATTTAGGAGACACCTAGCAGCACCTCCATCACACACAGGCACCCGCTTACCTCCCCCTGATCCGATTTCCCCATCTTTCCGTGAAGATGTGCTGAGGCAAGAAGAAAAGACTGCAATTTCAGGAAGGCCTTGGCTAACTTCACATTGCACCTCCTGTGGCTCTGCTGGGTGTGGTCCAGACCCACCCAGCTCACCCCCAAACTCCAGAGTCTTCTAATAAAACGATAAAAGATAAGAAGGAACGGTGGGATCACATAAATACGTTAGTCTCGCACTGCAAGGATGCCCTGTGCCTGGAATAAACTGTCTAGTCTCCCCACGTGGCTCCTCTTCAGCCTGTGAGCAGAGCCTTGGCCTGAGAGGCACCACATTGCCCTTTGGCTTTGGACAAGAAGGATGACAGCGATCTGTAGCTCTCTTCAGCCCTGGTCCAAAACATGTCAGCCAGTAAAAGGGCATGGATTTCTGCAGAGAAGGCTCCTGCAGTGGGAGACAAGCTTTGGGGGCGCTGGGGAAGGCACGGTAGAGGGCTGCAGTGCCCTGGCTAGGAAAATGGCTGCTGCTGGCCTGGGCTGGGGAGACTCCCAGGCCTGCAGAAAGCATCAGTACTTTTATTCTAAGCAGGGAGGTGGAGAGCCCAGTCCTGACTCGGGTTCTAATACAAGAGGTTCGTTTTCCTGACCTTTTCCTTTCTAGAACCCTATCCTAGCGTACCACTCCATCATCTGTTTCCACATCCCACCTCCAGGTAGCTCATTGGTTTACAGAAAACAGGAGCAGAAATTTCTGAGAAAGCAGAACATTTTTTTTTACTGTCAAACAAATACTTTATATAAGAAAAATTCCCTTTAGATATTTATATACATGTTACCATGTAATACTGTTAATCAAACCCATGATTTATTAGTTTAAATAAGATTAAATAAGTGGCCCCAAATGTTGATTTCACAATGCCTAGATACTGCAAATCAAACTTCAGCTTGGTATAATGAAGACTGGATTCCTCAGACAACAGTAAGAAGGAGCGATTTTCAGGATGAGTCCCCTCTCTAGGTCAGGGAGAGCTTTATTAAGTGGCAAGCGCTGTGTGGCTGTGCAGAAGCGCCAGTTTTGGAAACAAACACATTCAGAAGATCTGCTGCTCAAATAATATTTTTTCAAAACCTGGTGGAGGAGTATGATAAAATTCACTGCACTGGCAATCCAGAATTGCACTGTCACCAACATACACAACTGGATGTACTGTCCCTTGTATACCTGATGCTGGACAGTGCATGTTTTTCCCATTCAAATACACATTTAATTCTACATGGTCATATGTGATACTCACTACATCGCCCTCCTGAGGAAGGCTGTTGGCTGGCAGCCTGCTCTTTTCTTCGTTGTTGTGGTACAGGGCTCCATCGTTTCTCATCACCACACTATGCATGTCTCGGCCGAGAGTAATCTGGTTCAAGTTCACTTTCCGAGTTGCAACACCTATACCCCAGATTCCAGTAGACTGGATTTTGAAATCAAAGTAGCTTTTGTTCTGATGTAAAGGTGCACTGGCTAAACAACCTCCGGTGCCACAGATTCTTCTTCCATTTTTCACAATGACAACATCTGTTCCCATGTGCTGCGTGTCCAGCTGTATGGCCGGCATCTCCTTGAGAGGAATGTGGCCGGTCCCGCCATCCCTGCAGCAATGCAGGCGGCACCACGCCCGTGTGGCCACGGCGCAGCTACACAGCCCAGCCGCTCCGCCCGCGCCCGACTGTTTCTGGATCTCAGGAGTTTCACAGCCCCCGCAGCCAAAATTGAGGCAAGGCCCTTGGCCAAGAAGCAAGTACCGCCAGGCAGGGAGGGGCGGGGCGGGCCCCGAGAAAGTAGAACTTTAAAGAGGCTATTGAGCCCACCCGCAGCCTCCGGACCTCGCTCCCCAAATGGTTATATATAACCACCCAGAACTCCACTATCTACAGGAACTTCTAACTTCCTTCAAACAAGAGTGTCCTTTAAACACAAGACATGTACTCCAGACCCAGGTCCACCGTGGTCAACATCAGCAGCAGCGATGCTCCAAAGGATTGTGTGACCTGGTCCCTATTTAACACTGTGTTTATGAACTGCTGTTGCCTGGGTTTCCTTGCCTATGTCTTCTCTGTGAAGGTGAGTGTTCTCGCTGTGGGAGTAATGGGGCAAAAAGGTGTGTGTGGGACTGAAGCTCTTCCTGCCCAGAAAACACCTGGGATATTGTACAGCCCCGTGTTTGTGCACGCGTGACACTCTGTGTTTGGTGTCCTGTATGTAGCTATGTTTGTGTCTCTAGACTGTGTAGACAGCATATAGTGCAAGTGAANGGGGCTGGAGAGATGGCTAAATCGTGAAGAGCACTGGCTGCTCTCTCAGAGGAGCAGGGTTCAAGTCCCGGGGCCCACATGGCAGCTCACAACTGTCTGTAACTCCAGCTCCAGAGGATCTGATACCTTCACACCAATACACATAAAATAAAGTCAAATAAATTAAAAAAAGAAAGTAATTTATTTTATTGCATTGATGTTTGGCCATGGGTGTCAGGTCCCCTGGAACTGAAGTTACAGACAGTTGTGAGCCACCACATCGATACTGGGATTTGAACTAGGGTCCTCTGGAAGAGCAGTCGGTGCTCTTAACCGCTGAGCCATCTCTCCAGCCTGTGTTATTAGTTTTGACTGTCAATTTGACACAACCTGGAGTCGTCTGGAAAGAAATTCATAGTGAGGAATTTTCTAGATCAGGCTGGCCTGTGGGCCTGCCTAGGAGGGTCTGTCTAGTTTGTTAATTGATGTAGTATGGTCGGGTCCACTGTGGAGAGCACAATTCCCTAAGCAGGGGTGTCTGGAGAGCCTAAGAGACAAGAAAGCTGGCAGAGAGCAAGCAGGTAGGTAAGCCGGCAAAGATGCAGTTCTCTCTCTGCTTCTGAGTGCTGATGCGACGTGAACTAACTGCTTGTGAGTTCCTGCCTTTACATTTCTGAAACGATGCTGGAAACTTGGGAATTGTAAGCAAATAAACTTTTTTTTTTCTCTAAGTTGCTTTCTGTCAGGGTATCTGTCATAGCCCCAGAACTGAAACTAGAACACCAACTCTTCAAAAATCCAGTTCGTGAGCCGGGCTGTGGTGGCACACGCCTTTAATCCCAGCACTGGGGAGGCAGAGGCAGGCTGATCTCTGTGAGTTCGAGGCCAGCCTGGTCTACAAGAGCTAGTTCCAGGACAGGCACCAAAGCTACAAAGAAACCCTGTCTCGAAAAACTAAACCAAAACAAACCCAAACAAACCAAACCAAAATCCAGCGCATGCTCTATGTTTCCTGCAGTGGGTGAGCTGCACCACATTCGAAAAGCTCGTGGTCACAAAGACTACTTGGAGAAGAGCCAGGACAGTAGCTTCAAGAAATCCAGAAGTCCAGGCTGATGGGACAAGGGGTTCCCTGGAGGCCTAGCATGGCACGGATGACTGGTCCAGGGTTCCTAAGGACACAGCAGAAGGAGCAGTAGCCTAGCCCCTGCATTGTGAAGAGGGCCCAGACCCAGGGGCAGGGACCATTCCAGGATCTTGGTTTCTGCTATTTAGGAGACACCTAGCAGCACCTCCATCACACACAGGCA